GATTGAGCGATCACATCCGAAAGGAGATGAGGCTATTCACGGTGGAATCAATTGCAGAGGCGAGCGTGAAGGCAATTGCCATTGAGGGTAGGCAAAAGAAGGGCAACGAGGCTAAGGGAGACTCCAAACAGACGGAAGGCGAGTCTAGTGGTTCTCAATCTAAGGGGAAGAAGAAAAAGGGTGATCCAGGGAAAGCAGAGCTGATTTGTAATCACTGCAAGAAGACAGGACATACAGCTGATCGGTGCTGGGAGAAGTATCATCATCTCAAGCCAAGAGGGTTGAAGAAAAAGGAGGAGAAAAAGGCATACATGATAGCTCAAGGTCCGAAGGAAATCCCGGGGATGACAGAGCCCAACAACAGTCTCAACCTTATGGTGGGGAAGCAGGCCACGAAAGAGGACGACGACCTGAGAGAGCAGCTCTTTGTTCTAAAGTTGCAAGTGAAGACTAGTTTGGTTGATGCCATTGTTGATTCGGGCAGCGAGAAGAATTTGATATCCGAGGCATTGGTGCAGAAGCTAGGTCTGAAGACGGTCAAGCATCTGAAACCCTATCCATTGGGGTGGATTCAGAAGGAGGAGAAACTGAGTGTAGTTGATCAATGCACTGTCAGATTTGCGCTCCACGAGGCGTATATTGACGAGGTCACATGCGATGTCGTTCCATTGGATGTTTGTCAGATTATACTGGGTAATCCGTACTTATGGGATAGATATGTGATCTACGAGAGGCGGGCTCAGAAGTACACCTTCACTAAGGATGGTGTAAAGTTCATATTTCGTTCGGCATCTCTTCCGAAGGAGACAAGCTTGGGGACGGTGACGCGAGCGAAGAGACTAGTGAATGCAAGCAAGAAGTTTGTCTCGCTATGCATTAGACTTCCAGAAAAGCCATCGACAAAGGATTGCAACTTCGAGCGAACGGTGACTATGACGAGACGCGGGACGAATGAGTTGTTTCCGATCGGACGTCAAGACCGGATTCCTAGCACAGGTGGTGCAGAAAAGATGGAGGAGCTCGAGAGTTTCCTCAGCTGAAGTTCTAACTTGAACGGGACTTCAAGTTCTTAAAGAGGGGACACATGATACGGGTGTATCTTCTCTTCAGAACTTAGCGATCCTCATGGAAGCTTGAGGATAGATGATTCTCATACTAGCATGAGAATAGGGGGTGTCAAACAGTATGTCAGTTTCATGCCTTTACTTTTGATTGAACTGATATTTTTCTTTCAAGAATTGTGGTCGCTACATCATTCTAGAGAATTGAGCATTGTACTATAATGAATTATGATTGCTTTGCGGTATATATCTAGTTTTATCTCAGTGAGATCCTCACTTAAAATTTCATCGTGGCCTCATATTTTTAGATAGTAAGGGTGTTTGCTGACTAATCTAAGGAGGCTCGCCTCGCTTTTTGCCTCGACAAAAAAAAGGGTGTCTGCTGACCTATCTCATTAATTAAAAGGATTAATCGCGGATGGAACCCCTGTATCGTTGTTTTATGTGCTACCTCACTCATTCTATTTTTGCAGATAAACCCCTTGTGTGACATTTTCTGACTCTTTTTCCCTTGGAGAAAGAGAAATTTGTGACAGATAGACCCCTGAAGATAAAAGAGACAAATATTTTCGCTTATGGAGTCTATGCAAAAATAAAACTAGTGGGGTAGTAAATTTGAAACAGTGGTGAGGCTTCTTGCCCTACTTTTCCCCCTTAAAAGAACGATAATACAAGGGGTCTATCTGCAATTAACCCTATATAAAAAATGAATACGGTTGGATTTGCTCTTGGACTTGCCTCCTCTTAGTTTCCCTTTAACCATTAAAAAACAACAAAGATCATTGGATTTTCATATGCCAGGTCACTATCTAAAGAAGAATTTCAATATAATTTCAGGTGCTTCCCTGAAGGAATCGACATCTATTTCGAGAACGTAGGCGGAGCAATGCTCGACGTTGTTCTTCTCAACATGAGGAACCATGGCAGAATCGCCGCATGTGGGATGATATCTCAATACAACCTTGATAAACCTGAGGGTGTACACAACTTGATGTTTGTTGTCACGAAGCGATTGAGGATTAAAGGGTTCATTGCGTTTGATTACTTGCCTATTTATGATCAGTTTTTCCAGAAGACTGTGCCGTATATAAAAGAAGGAAAGATCACTTATGTGGAGGATGTTGTGGAGGGGCTTGAGAATGCACCTGCGGCATTGATTGGTCTGTTCTCGGGGAGAAATGTCGGGAAACAGGTGGTGGTGGTTGCTCGCGAGTAGGAGAGGGTTATACGTATGAAATTTGGTGTGAATGAAAGTATTTTGATAAAACTTGAGGTATAGATGGTATTGAACCAAAAATGTCTTGAGTGTTGTCGCTGTGTGTGTATGTTTTTCGAACTTGGTGGTGCTTTTTTTTTATGCAATAAACGTGTCTTATTGACATCGTATACATCCATTTTGTTTGTTATGCTCTGAGTATGTCGATCATTTGGTCTCAGGGTTCTGGATTTATGCAGTGTGACTGATGCACCTATTGCTATTCACAAGAATTATGTGTTTTAAGTGAGGCGTAGGATTCTTAATCTTTTGACTGGATTTTGCCGGTAATGAGCTCCACACATAATGTACCATGAGTATTAGAAGTGCACAAAAAATATCCGCGCTTGAGAAAATATCTGCATCTAATCCGTTAGGATATAGATATGCATGGTTATTAAAATTTACAACTGATAGGATATGGTTACTGTTGATGTTATGTAATCACATATACAAACTGATAGGAACTGGGTTGATTAGTGGTCGTAACTTCTCTGAATATCTGGTTTGGAGTTGAGTTCTTCCCTGCACGTGTAGCAACTCGTAAGAGGGCGGGGTCTGATTCCCCCGTTGTTCCTCCGATGATCAAGTTAGCAAGGTACTTAAGTAGGGAAAATGACGAACTGTAGCAGTTCTTAAGTGCAGTGAAATAGAGAAAAATGCAAAGAAATTGCTTACCTTCTTGTTGGGATTAGTTTTCCCTTTTATGGTAATGAAGGAAGGGCATTTTGGTCTCTTTGGCCAAGTCTGGGCTGGCGTCTGAGTCAGCGTCGACTTTACAGGTGTTGACTGTGGAGTGGTCGCGAAATGGGCACAGTCACTTCGGTATTAATGAGATGGGATAAGCGGCGTGCGAAGCTAGCGTGGTCCGATGTGCTATAAATAGTGTCAGGAATGGAGAAATGATGACATCTGTCAAGCATTTAATGTGATGTCGTCGCGCTGTCAGCGGGGAGGCTTGAGGGTCGCAGTCGCCTTTTGCCTTGTATGGAGGGGTGTCGAGAGGTACCGCTTTTCTAGTCAGCTCTCATGAGATGTCGACCAGACAACTAGTCGAGTAGACTTGTGGCGAGTCGTCTTTGACGAAACGACCGACAAGTACCGCCTCTCGAGTCGACCTAGCGAGATGTTGACTCGGCGTGTCGGCTAAATCGGGACTCTGGCTGTCCAAAGTATCGAGTTGATTGAACTAGGCATAATGTGGAATACTTATTTGTTGTTGACAAGAGATCACAATTTGGTGACTGAAAACACCATAACAGTTGGCACGTTTTGCTTGGAGTCTGTCTGGACCGGGTCCGAGTGGAATGAGAACGGTTTTGGACGGATGCAGACCTGCATTAAATGGGAGAACTAAAAAGCCTCTTCAGATTTAACGTGGCTGACGTCACTATGTAATCTTTTTAATTGTTGCAGCTCTGCTTTTCGTGCCAGATTGCGGGCTGTTCGAGGTTGGTAGGCTGTACCTCGATCCATGAAATGCTGCTTTGGATTTTAAGAGTCAATCTCAGCCGTTGGCTAAATTTTGATCCGGTCGTTGAGATTCTAACAGTTGCGGATTCAACTGCCTATAAATAAGGCTAGGACTAGAAGAGAGGCGGTTACTGGCCTTTGAAATTCCTCTTGAGAACTTGAGAAATCTTTTCTGACCATCTTCTCTGGCGATTATTCATCCATCGTAAAATGGCATCTGATCCCATCGATAGACAAGTTTTGCTGGTGATAATAACATTTGTATTGCATTTGTATACCCTCATTACCTATTTTGTTTAAATAAAAATGCACTAATAAACATGTTTTATCTTAATTTGTAGGTTAATGAAGAATTAATGAATAAAAGCTCAAAAAGAACTCAAATTTTCTTATTTTTTTAACATTTTATTAAAGTCCGGGATCAAGCTAAGCAATCTACAGAGGCCGAAGAAACAAGGATCAAATAAAAAAGAAATCAAGTGAAAATCATGTTCAAGATGTTAGCCACAAAGAAACGGCGATATCTCCCAATTCGGAAGACGGAATTTAATATATAATATATGAAAATCGCTTATTTCGACGAATCGGAGCCAACTGCATTTTTAGTTCAAATTCCAATCGGTCGACTAACCAATTGGTCAACCGATTGGCCGACCTATTGATCTGTAACAAACTCATTTTATGGCTAAGATTTGATCCTTGGAGCCCAAGTAAAATCTAATAATTCTCATTCATTATTGTAGGCTATAAATAGGGATAAGAGTGTGAGGGGTTTTGAGTGTGAATTTTTTTTTGTAAAAACTCCATTTGGAGTGGAGGGTTGCTCTTAATTGAGAAGACATTTCAAAATTATAACTTTTTGTTACAATTAATAAAATAATTTTTTTCACATCTTCATATTTTTCTTTTCTTCTGTTTGTTTGATGATGAAGATGAAGATGAAGATCAATTTGCCTTCATCAAGAGGCTAGAACCCTCTTGGAATGTAAAGTTTTTCTTTTCTCTTTTTATTTTGGGAAAATTGTGTATAGGCCTCAAAAAATAAAGGGGATGTGTCTCAGCCCCTCCTTATTTTTCTCATGTGTGTTTTAACCTCCAAAGTTGTGGTCTGCCCCCTTTCACACTCCCCAGTAACAACTTTTCGAAATTACCCTTCCCATTTTCTCCTCCTACTCCTCCTCTGTGTCTTTCTCCTCCTCCTCTCCCCTCTCCCTTCTCTATTCTCTCCTCCTCTTCTTCTTCTCCAGACCCTAGCCCACACCCCCACCCCTCCTCCCTCCCCCCCCTCCCCCGCCCCATCCCCGACCTCCTCCTCCTCCTCCTCCTCAGCCTCCGGGTTCTTCGACATGGCCGGGGCCACCAGCGCTCTCACCCCTACGCCGCAATCCTTGCGCCGTCTCGATCTCGACCTCAATGTCAGCTCGATCTCTGCTCGGTCTAAGCGTGGACTTGGCCTCGATCTTTGCTCGACCTCTATTTCGACTGTGCCTTGATCTCAGCTTGATGTCAGCTCGATCTTTGCTCGATCTCCGCTCGTCCGCCTCCAAACTCATCCTTTGTGATTGTCATTGATTGCAATCCGATCTCTTGAGGTATTGTCTTCCTAATCTCATTTTACATTGTTTGATTTGATCTATAAATATTTTCTGGATCAATTACATGATGAAAGATAAAAAAAAATTGCATGTTTTGTTGTCGAATATCTACGCGGCAAATGGTAGATTGGCAAATGTTTTGCAATTAAGGGTTGTGATGAGGAGGAAAGGATTAAGAATTTTTGTGCTCTAATACCAATTGTTGTTGAAAACCGTGTCGAGGAACCAAACCAAACGCCGATCAAAGAGGGCCAAAACCAACCAAAATCAATGCACAAACAAAACACCAATTTTAATGTGGTTCGGCAAGTTGCCTATGTCCACGGGGCAAGGGGGATGAGGTTTTCACTAATAGAGAAAGAGTACAAACTGAGATTACAAATCACTCGAAGGAACAAACTAATCTCACCAACAAAACTCTTAATCTCTCCAAAATAAAACCCTAATCAAAAGCTCAAAAAAATACCTCTTTTTGTGCTTTAAATATCCCCCAATCAATGCTTCATCAAAGCCCAATCAAAGCCTAAACAAAGCTATAGAAACCCTAGAAAACGTGTCTCTATTTATAACAAAACACAATCCCAAACTGATTGGGATTCTAAAAACGAGTCTGTCACACCCTGGGGTGGCAGACACCACACCTATGGTAAACATGACAGATTTTGCCATAGCAGGGTGTGGCAGACACCACACTCATGGCAGACAGGGCAGATTCTGCCACACCAATGGCAGACACCACACCAGGATGTGGTGGAGCCTGTTTTGCTTATTCTTCACGTTTTTCTCAATTCCTTCCTCAATTCCTTCGCCGTTTTCACAATTCTCCACCTCGACGAAGTTTTTCCAAAACTGAGCCGACACCAACCAAACCAAATGTCCCACTTATTACGTGCAGGACGTCGTGGAAACCTTTCACGACAACGAACTCAAACCACAACAAGTCGAGACCCAAATGAGAATGTGAACACTTTCCAAACGTCAATGTCTACTCACCAAATCGGCTGTATCAAAACTGACTGTCTACGTATCCTCTTGCCCAAGGAATCAAGCCTTCACATAGTTCACCCAAATGGCCTCCAAAGGCCCTCAATCAAATAGAAAAGTCTGCAACTCTTCCCCAATATCACCAACGGATCTACAACTGATAGCGGCCCCAAACTGATACAAATCAAACACCTCCATCTGAGGTGAACCAATGGCCGTATTCAAATCATATCCACCAGCTGCAACCGAATCCAAAACCAATCCATCATCTGCATCCAAAATTAAATGATCCCCAACCTGTGCCACCTCAGCTGGAATCCTAAATAACGCAGTTTGATCTGGAGTATGTGGAATAAGTTTCACCCAACGTGAAGTAGCATCACCCTCCACCTGCTGCGATATCCAAATGACCTGATCAACACTCTCCATCTACTGAGAGTCAAAAGTGACATTCCTACCTGCTCAGAACAAAATCAGAAGCTCCCAAACGATAATCAAATGAGCCTCTGAATCCCAAACGCGCAATCAGATTAAATCTCACATCCTCGATGTGACAAAATGCTGAGTAACCAAATATCCGACGCCAACCAAAATCTAAAGCAACTCCACCAGATCCAATAACTCCTAATGCAGCAGTCGGCAACCTATGACTAAGATGACTCAAATATGTCGAAACTCCAGAACCAGAACTAATGTTCGACAACCAACGCCGATCCTCCTCCAGAAAGGAACGACCCATCGAAACTGTCATCTCATCTCGTCGCCCTAAAGTCTCCACATCAATGAAGTGTTTCAAGTTGCCATGAGCTCGGCACAAACGCAAGAAAGGACCCCTACCATAGCTAGAACAACGAGTTATCTTTCTGCCAATACACTTCTTCCAATTGTTGTTGACTTCTAGGACTTTAC